TTCTGAAAAAAAGGACCTCAACGGCTGCCTCTACCCTTCCTCTTCCCTGGGACCTTCCGCGGCTTCCGTACTTGACCACCCGAGGCACCGAAGGGCAGGAAAACCCCCACAGATCTTAACTTATTGAAGACTGGAGGCAGGCGCGGTTCGTTCATAAAGCACGGTCGTGCAGTGCCGCCCAAAAATTTTTAATATTCTATTATGTAAAGCACCCACAAATATAAAATAAAAGAAGCAAGAAACAATCACTAGCCAAATATAATATCAAAATAAGGTCCTCGTTGACGCCGTAGCTGTCATTTCTGTGTCTATAGCGCCGCAAAACATCTACTATGCCACGCCAAAGTCCACACGCTTTAGCTAAACAAAATAGGATATTCAACACTGGTAACCTGACCTATAAATCGCTCTTTGTGATAACCCAAGCGATGACGACACTCGCAGCGAGTTTGGCGGTACATTAATATTAATAAGCCGGCACATCTCAAATGTGCTCGGGCCAAATAGTGCCGATACATAGCCCAATATAGGTAGTCTAAAAATAAACGCGATAGACTGTACGCTATTCCATGCTAAAAGTATGTGAGCCCCGGAGCAATCCAACGGAGTGCTCAAGTGAATTATGATAGGTTCATCGTCTTGCCGCTATTTTAAGTGACTCTGTGACCGTGGACCTGAAGGAGGTGAACGTGACATACTTAAGTCACCGTCATATGGGTTGTGCCTTCAATGGTTTTGTAGTGGGGTGGAGAAAGTTATTTCTGGAGTGCTCAGTTCTCATGATGAACGAATTTGATGTTTCCCTAACAAACAGATTTTAAGTTCTAGAAATCAAAGCGGCAAGTAAAAAGAATGAAAATAAAAACACGAGGTCCTCCCTCACCAACCCAAGATCATAAAATTATACACCATCTCATTTACTATGCCCTTGACAATCTTCAGCCTTCGATAGCTTGATTGTGCACGCCCACTTTTCAGACCCACGAGCGGGCGGCTCGTGGGTCTGAAAAGTGGGCGTGCACAATCAAGCTATCGAAGGGGCGCTGACTGGAGGTGCCCTAAAACAGGTTCTGGGCTACATTCCTACGAATGTTCAGAAACTGTCCCCTCTGGTGCACTCCTCATTAAGTGTGCATCGGATAAAGAACTGGCCGGACTGGAAAAGATCACGACCTTCAGTGGTGTTCTTTGTGTGTCCGAGCGACACCAAAAGTTGAACCAATCAAAGGGCGTGGTCTGCAGCCATGAGCTGAAGGGCTGCTCCAACAAGGAAATTGTGGCTAACTGCAAGGGTGTGGTCGAAGCCCGCCGGATTACTCTTCGACGCAAGAAGATCATACTTGAAACGAAAACGTCTCTCCCCCAAATCCCCCAGTAGGCTGCCACCCAATCCAGGACGGCAGTCTAGAAACCCCTCTGCCTTCCCCGCAAGGAGGAATGGCAGTGTTTTTTCGAAGCCGGCGCCTGCGTACTCCAAAATAAAAAAAGCCTTCATAATGGCGGTCGTGTATTGAAATGTCGGCGGACTCCGACCTTCCTTTGCCGAATTTCAACACTTACCGGCCAC